CGCGAGCTGTGCTTGGGGCAGTAGGACTTGAACTTGACCTCGTCGTTCTCCGCCAGGATGGTCTTCATCTCCAGGCCCCGCTCAAAGGCGCAGGTCACGTGGAAGGCGGTGCGGCAGTTCTTCACGGAGCACTGCGGGCAGGGGCGGGTCAGGGCGCCCCTGGGCGGGGGGGGGCCCTCCGGGGGCAGGACCCCGCCCGGCGCCCCTCACCTGGATGGACGCGCCGAGCTTCTCGCTGCACAGGGAGCAGAGCAGCGCCCAGCGGCTGCTGGGGATGTGGGACACCTTGGTGATGGGCTCCATCTTCTCGGGGCTGCCGATGCTGACCTGCGCGGGCGCGTGAGCGGGCTGCTTGCGGGGCAGGGCCCGGGCCGCCATTTTGCGGGGCGGTCACGTGAGAGGACGCACGTTCAGCCGGGAGCTCACGTGACCAGGGGCGTGCTGCGGCCGCCCAGCCGGACCCGGCGAGAGGCGGCGGCGGGAGCGGCGGTGATGGACGGGTCCGGGGAGCAGCCCAGAGGCGGGGGTGAGGCCGGAGGCAGACGGGCGGGAGGAGGGCGAGCCCCGGGCCGGCCGGCCGGCCCCACGATCCCTCCTGCCAGCCCCCGGCCGCGAGATCTCCGAGCACTCCGGGCAGAACCTCCCGGGTCGGGCGCCGCCAGCCTCCAGCCCCTGCTTCCCCGGGGCCCCCGGCGCTCTGATTTCCGCACACCGATCTCCTCTTGCGGGGTGCTCTCGGACACCCCCGAGAACCTGGAGACCCCCGGATCCAGACCCCCGGACAGGCCCGGGCTTGTCGCCGGCACCACTTCCTGCCTCCGGCCCTGGTGGGAGGGGCGGCTCTCCTCTCTGCCCCTCCGGCCAGAGGTCTGGCCGCCTTCGGTGTAGTCCCAGTCTCCTCCCCTGGAGGAGTGCAGGGTACAGGCCGGTCTCCCTGCCTCTCTCTGCATCAGGGACTCAGTCGTCCGGGTCCCCAGTGACTTTGTCCACCAGGCCCCCAGAAGTCCAGCGCCCCAGCGTTGCCCTTCCTCCCGAACCATGAGCCAGCCCCCCACCTCCAGGACTCTCTAGGCCTCCGCGGTCCAGACCCCTCTCCCCTCCTTTCTCCTCCAGGGCCCACCAGCTCTGAGCAGATCATGAAGACAGGGGCCCTTTTGCTTCAGGGGTGAGTTTGAGAGGCTTGATTATTGGGGCACGGATCTGAGGTGCGGCCCCTTTCTGACTGCATTTCCTACTCCGTGCCCACCCTAGTTTCATCCAGGATCGAGCAGGGCGCATGGCGGGAGATACGCCAGAGCTGGGTCTAGAGCAGGCACCGCAAGATGCGTCCACCAAGAAGCTGAGCGAGTGTCTCAAGCGCATTGGAGACGAGCTAGACAGTAACATGGAGCTGCAGAGGTGTGGCCCTTGGTCCCCTTCCCCCTCAGAACCAGGAGGCCCAGCCCCCAGCCCCTAGTTCCCCCCGCCCCCAGCCCCTAGTCCCCTAGGACTTGAAGTTCAGACCCACAATTCTTGTTCCTTCATATCCTGGGTCTCTCAACTCTGGAGTCCAAGTCTGGGCCCGCCCCTCCCCTGGGATCTTGAAACCTCCTCAGGGAGTCATTTTCCGCTCCCCTAAATGGCCATCTTGTCTCCTGCCTCCACGTTAACCCCCTGCTTTTCATTTCAGCCTGGCCTGGGCCTCATTTACCGTATCTTGGAGATGGGGTGCTAGCAGGGTCCCCAGACTCTGCGGGCTCTGCCCTCCCCACCTCCAGCTTGCTTTTCCACAGAATGATTGCAGCAGTGGACACAGACTCCCCTCGAGAGGTCTTCTTCCGAGTGGCAGCTGAGATGTTTTCTGACGGCAACTTCAACTGGGGCCGGGTTGTCGCCCTTTTCTACTTTGCCAGCAAACTGGTGCTCAAGGTGGGCGCTGCAGGGTGGTGAACCCAGGGAGGCACCCCCAGAACCCTCAGACCTGGGAGGTCAGCCTCCGCCCCCGCGGCAGCCCTGTGTCCGCAGAGGGACTCGACAGAGACAGCTGAGGGCGCCTGCCTTCGTTTATTCATTCAACATACATGTACGGGGCCCGCCGACATACGTGTGCCTGGCCCGTGCTCAGCAGCGGCGGAGCACAGAAGGAAGGCCGGGAGACGTGTGGTCTGGTGTCTCCGTGGTCAGGAAGGACGTTAAGCCGGCGCTGGGGGCACCGCAGCGATGCGGTGATAGAGAAGCATCCGGTGGGCGCGTGGTAGAGGACACAGCAAGCGCCAGTGTCCTGAGGCAGCGCCAGGTCTGCTGAAGGCAGGGGCTGGGGAAGGGAGAGGCTGCGGGCAGATGGCGCCGGGTCCTGCAGAGCACTGGAGGACTTAGCTTTACACAGACACAAGTGACTGGCTGGTTTCTCCTGCTGTACAGTAGTCCATGCATATTTGGTAGTTTACAGTGTGGGTCTGGAAATTTCCCAGTTTTTTCTAGATAAATAATGGTAGTAATGTTTGCAGACATGTTAGCCTGTGAATCCCACTGACTGGGAACGTTCTTTTGGATCACAGGGTTCACCTGCATAGCAAAATGTTGTTTATAGGATTCACATTTTGACTATACATCTCCCTTTACTCTGAAATTCTTTAAACTTTGTGAAGCTACTCAAGTGGTGGAAAGGGAAGCCTAACACATTGTCTGGTCACTGTGGGATGAAGGGTCCCGGGGCAAAAGCTGGGAAGCTGGTGAGGGACATCCAGAATGGATGTCAAAAGGTGAGGGGCCTGGACTCGGTGGGAGAGGGGAGGAAGGTGATTCCTTGATGTGTCTGTGTGACTGAGCTGATGAGGCTTGAAAGTTAGCCGTAGTGGGGATGTTCCATGTAGAACCTGGGGGAAGCATTCAGAAAGGCAGGAAGGTCACGTTCAGAGAGATGGAGAACAGGTCGTGGGTTTGCTGGTGTTGAGTCTTAACCGGTCTGAAGCTTAGGGACGCCCTGTCTGGTCTCAAGGTTAGACCTGAGCTTTAAGGAAAGGTGAACATGCCGCCGGTTGAGACCCCGTTAGGCAGAACCTGCATGTGCAAAGGTCCTGAGGCGGCACAGTTTGCGGGGGATGAAGCTATGCAAGGAAGTCAGTGAGGCATTAAAAGACAGTGGGAAATTATTAAAGTAAGATCAAGCCAGAACCGTCACACATGGTCTTATGGGCCAAGCTATTATGCATCTTGAGCTGGAGGTGAGGGCTGCTGGGTCTTATGGCCGGTTCCTGAGCAGGGCAGGTGACAGTTGACGAGTCTAACTTACAGTTTATATGAAGCGGAATGGAAGGACTGCAGAGGGCAGGATGGGAGACCGGATGAGGGCTCTCAGCCCTAAGGCCCACCTCACTCACCGTAGGCCCTGTGCACCAAGGTGCCCGAGCTGATCAGGACCATCATGGGCTGGACGCTGGACTTCCTTCGAGAGCGACTTCTGGGCTGGATCCAGGACCAGGGTGGTTGGGTGAGGCCCTTCACTCCTCCCTCCCCTACTCCCTGGGACCTGAGGGTCTTCCCGAGCCCACCACAGCTGACATGTCCTTAGGTCTCAAATGTATATTAAGCAGTGGTTTATCTTGTCCCCACTGATTCTGCTGTGACCCCTGACCTCCTTGTGACCTCTGTGCTCCCAGTGACCCTTGACCTCAGTAGTGCCTTCTCACCCTCCCTGGTACCTGCTGCTCTGGAAGCCAATCTGTGATAACGCTTGTTTGTGACTCCCACTAGCTGTCACCTTAGGCCTTAGCCCTTAGCCGCCCCTCCATGCCCGCTGACCTCACCCCAGTCCTCCCTGGTGGAATGGCTGACTGATGTCCCTGTCCCCAGGATGGCCTCCTCTCCTACTTTGGGACACCCACGTGGCAGACAGTGACCATCTTCGTGGCGGGGGTACTCACTGCCTCGCTTACCATCTGGAAGAAGATGGGCTGAGGCCACCAGCGGCCTTGGACTGTGTCTTACCTGCATAAATTATGGCATTTTTCTGGAAGGGTTGGGATGGGGGGATATGGGGATTTTTTCTTACTTTTGTAATTATTGGTGGGGGGGGTGGCCCGGGGGGGTAATAAACCTCTTTGGCCACACTTCTAGTCTGTGTTACTGGGCTCACTCCCTGGCTGTCTTAGGAGAACAGGCCTTGGCTGGTCCCATAGGTTTTCTGGAGGCACCCAGTGCTCCCTATCCGTCAGTGATGAGCTGGGTCCAGCCTGCCCTCCAGGAGCCCACAGTCCCGACAGCACCTCCGTGGCACCCTAGGCCGGAGCTGGAGGAAGAACAGGGAGGACACTCCCGAGTGGGCCTCCTAGGGCTGGACGCTTCCGACATTTGGGACCACAGCAGGTCACATGTTAACTGAGGTGGAGAAAGGGGGCGCACCTGGGGAGGGCTCAAGAGTGCTTTGGGGAAACTGGGACGCCTGATCTGGGACCAGAGGGTCGGGACAGAGGACCAGGCCTGAGTCTGCATGAGGCTGTGTGGCCACTGGGGGACAAAGCTGTGGGCTGATAGCTGTGCGGGAGCGCTGGAGGAAGAGGCGCTCTGGGGTCTCCCCCGTGAGTGGGTGTGGGGGTGCTGCCTGAGAGAAGCTGCCTGAGGGGAGACCCTGAGACCTAAAAATAGGCAGAGGACAGTTACAGGAAGAAGGGGTGTGTTCTAGAGGCTGTAACCTTGGGGGCCTTTGTCCTCTCTTTCCCTGTGTGTCTATCCCCTTCTCTCCACTTCTGTTTCCCGACCACACTGTGTCTTTCTGAGTCTTCATCCCCCCTCTCTGTTCCTGTCCTTCTGGGTCTCCTCTGTTCCCCCTGGACCTCTGACTTACCCCTTCCTCTCCTTCCACCTGTGGGCATTTTCTGAGCCACCTCATCACAGGTGGGGCCTGCCTGAGGCTAAAGGTCTCAGGCTGAGGTAAGAAATTTGGTGAATGAGTAACTCAGGTCCCATTGTGACTGCATCCTGGAGCAGCTGCCCCTCCCCCAGAGACTGTCCCCAGAGACCAAATCAGAGCTGAGATGTCAGAGATAAGATAGCATGAGGGGAGACTGAACTACCATCAGAGGGGACAATATGGCCAGAAGCCGGTACCCAGGGAAGGCATCAAGGGAACTAAAAAGACAGTAAGATGAGACAAAGAACACTCCAGGCAGCCCCTTGGGGGAGGGGACCAGACTTGGGTCTGAGCCAAGTCAGATTCCTAGGGTCCCAGCCAGACTGCAGACAAGTCCAAGCCCTGAGGAGAGATGAGGTCAGTGAGTGGCCCCACTCCGCCCTCCAGCCCTCCGCCTGAGCCCCTTCCGCTGCTGAGTTCAGCATGACTCAGCAGGACCAGGTTCTTGGCCA